TAATAACAGCTGCAAAGATGCTTGCTTCAACAAACGCGATCCTCGTCAGTGCCTTACCTGTCCCTGCCATACTCTGCTTTACCATAACTGTTGTGCGAATATTCAAATTTTTGAATAGTAGTTTTGAAGGATACAATATTTGATAGTGGCTTCGAGATGAACTGCAATATTCATATTTTTTTAGGTGTTTATTGCAGCAGGTTAGCCGCAATGATTGCGCTTCTTACCGAGCACCGGTGCACTGCGGGGAAGCAACACCCACGGAACTCGCTTCTGCAGGTTTTGCTTCTCTGCAGTGCACTGGTGCTTAATAAGCAGCACACTCAATGGGGCTAACCCACCACAGAGCCGTGCATACAGAGAGGTTCTTCAATGGGAGGCGCAGGCAGACCCAAGGCGTACACCTGACGCAGAAAGTGGGCTTGGCATGCTCTCTTGACCAACCAGAAGCCTAAAAGAACCCCCTAGTGGTGGTAGCAAGAAACTGTTTTAATCAAAGGCATATGTTCGTATATAGCTTTAATAAGAGCATAAGAGTGAAGTGTGGTAACCCTTCATGGTTGAAAATACGGTGGACATGATGTTTCGATCATGACCATGCACAAGATGTAAGAAACGAATGCGCCGCTTGAACTCTGTTTTGCTCGGACAGAGTGTGACCGCTGGGACGGCAGATTCCCGGCCCTCGGCGCATGGCGTACAGTTTATGTCGATCGTTCCGCTAGTCGCACTCTTCCACCATAAAGAAACGCACTTATCAAGTTTGTTTCTCGTGACCACCGCCAGGGTATTATTTCCGGCTTCTGGTTGGCCCCATTGTAATTTCTGAAGACGCCCTTGAACACGCCCAGCCTGCTTTCGGCCGTTGGTTGAAAGTGGGCTGGGCGTGTTCAAGGGCGTCTTCAGAAATTACAATGGGGCCAACCGGAAGCCGGAAATAATACCCTGGCGGTGGTCGCGAGAAACAAACTTGATAAGTGCGTCGAAGTCACTCTGTTGATGTCCAATGAATGACTAACGGATAATCCAACGAATGGCCAAATTCTCTACATATACGGCTCTGACCCACCATAATCAACACTTTGAAAGGTATAAATATTGCAACCGCAGACTTAGGTGGAAAGCTGATTTCCTTAGTGGGATGATGCACGTGTGCGTGGTATACTGTATTCACATGATTGTAAGTCGACCCCCCCCCCGCATTGCACATCAACGAAAAAAATAAAAAAAAAATCTTTAGGGGTACATTTTACGGCGAACACGTGAGAATGGCAGAGAATCTCTTTCAAAAGCCCAGCCTCCAGCACGCGATCGATGCCTTCTGGCGTGCTTTGGGTGCGCATGCATGCATGAGGCGCGTGAGATGCTTAGGCGTTATCGAAACTAGGAAGCTCACGCTAGAGGCAGGACAGCTGAAACTGCTCCTTGTCATTCTCACGCTGTCTGCGACTAGAGACTACGATGCATCTGCACTGGTGATGTTAGTCCCGTCTTTATCACTACTACGTTCTCGAGGCACGTAGTCGGCATCGTCCAACGAAATCTCGTGCTTTGCAAATGACAGCCTCAACCGGATCTTCCGCGCTTGCTCGGTGACCGTATTCCACACCACAAGTAGGGACCGATTGCTCACTTCTGTGGCATACATTGCAAGCCTGACCCCTCACTCCAGAAGGCACCTCACCTATTCAGACTTTGGTCCGCGGAAGCCTCGTTTGGCGTCGCAGTTAAGATCCTGCACCAGACTCCACTGGAGCACCGCCCGCTCCAATGGGTCGAACTTGCATCCAGTAGTGCAGTTGTTGGTTGCTTCTGGATGTAGAATGGCCATAAATGAGCACTTAAAACCTAAACTGCCCGGATCACACATGTCAATACAGAAAATCATAGTTGGCACTCCAGCATGATCTTGACCCTCAATCAAACGACGTGCAACCGTGAATTGTGCGAAAAACTGCGAAAAGAAGCCGCAGGGAGTGAGGCGTGAGGCTGTTCCAGCGGCCGTTCTGGAGTGGCTCTAACAAGAAGTGCCGCAACCCCCGGGAGTCAGGCGTGCCGTGCGCTGTTTACCGTCATGCGTTCGAGCTAATTTGCAAATTGCTATCAATAATACTTGTTCGTACAAAAAAGAAAAAAAGAAAAGAACTTGTAACTGAGCACACAGAATAGTGCAATGCAACAGGTACAGCCGGCTGAACTCGTAACAAATCGAGGCGTTCTTGATATCGCATTTGTTTTGTTTTTTTTGGTGGTGGGAATGCTTTAATTCGATTATAAGTCGACCCTCCCCCCCCCCCCAACTTCAGATTTTTAGAAATTGAAAAATGGGTCGACCTACGTTTGTGTAACTACGGTATTTAAAAAGAAACAGAAACTTCATGGCTCTGGATACAGTCGAACCCCGCTTCAACGAACGTCGCTTTAACGAAATTTCCAGTTCAACGAACATTTTTCGGTTCCTTGTCAACGGTTCATAGGAGTCAATGCACAAAAATTCTCCCTAAAGCATAGAGAGTTTCTTGTGCCGTGCCGCTTTAACGAAAGTTCACAGAGCAATTCGAAGTTCGAGAGTTTAATTTTCCATACGAAAAACAAACCTCCGAGCACTTTGGTGCATTTCGGCAGATAAAATGCGTCTAGGGTACTAAAGTTTAACCCTTTGCGGTCATGTGTCGGACCAGGTCCAACATCGGAGAAACGCGCTTCTGGTCAGGTGTCGGGCGTCTCCCGACACGTGTTTCCGTGTCCTTTTAAACATGCTCCTTCGCTCTTTTTGCTGGATTGGTGGCGCCATCTCTTGGAAAACACTTCAATCACATCACTCTTGAAAGGGTTCGAGTTTCTTCTCATAGAGGGGCAGGACTAGTCATAAAGAAAAAAACAAGAGACATGTTTCATGTCGTATGTTTTTTTTTTTGCGCTACGGAGGAGCGCACAAGTTTCAACTTCGCTCGCACGATGGTTACAGCCACGTTACAGCCACGCTCGTTTTATGTAACTCTGCATGATATAATTGAAAGTGACGACGATTTCAGTGAAGAGGCCGACTATATCCCTCCATCAGATGATGGAGAGGCGACCTCTGTGACTTGAGTGAAAGTAGTGATGACTATGAAAACACTGCGCGAGACAGCGGCCGCAGAGCCGCTTCGCCACAAACATTGTCCCGGAGTTTGTACACAAACAATCTCCCGGACTTTCCTGTCCTTACATTCAGTGTGAGACGTTGCCTTTATACGCCGAAATAATTTTACTTTTCCGGCGCCCATGCATACAAAATAGGTCCTGACCGGAATGACCATTAAGTTGGTCAGAGTATCTGACCGCAAAGGGTTAAGTCGTGTGTTGAACCACCAGAAACCGCCACTAATAACCGGAATCCCCGGAACCCGAGCGCAATGGGCGCAACATTGACCGCGCGTGCGAGCCACCATTACTCGATGGCGACGGCGATTGAGGCTGGCCTTTCCGGCCTTCCTTCGCTGTTGCACCGATGTTGGTCGCACCCTAGCTCTTGGCTTGATAATTCTCTGCTGCACACTATCCAAACCCGAAGCTCAGTCGTCTTTTTTGTTTTGTCAGTTGTCCTTTTATCAATACAGTATGGGGGCTTTTTGGACATGCCACCACCAAGCAAAACGCAGAAGTTTTTATCTTTAGAAGATACAGCTCGCATCCTGGCCGAAGTTGCAAGTGGACAGAAGAAATCTGGCATCGCAGAAAAGTTCGAAATTTTTTCGAGTTCTTTGTCGACGATCCTAAAGTCGGAAGATGCAATCGAAAAGGCTTTTGCATTGGGGACATCGGCCAAACGAAAGAAACTGACACCGTCGGCGTAAGGAAAGCTCGACAAGGCTATGTACACATGGTTTGTACAGAGATTTGTGCTTTACCAGTTCGGGTATGACATTTTTTTGTTAATTTCACAACAACAGAATTTTTGCTACAACAAATTTTTTCTCGTGCACCTTCAATTTTGTTGTAGCAGGATTGGACTGTATCTACATTGCAGTAAAATTTTAAAATTAAACTGGCATGCGTGAGTAGCATATGTTAAGCAGAGATGCCCTGATGACCTGTCTTAATCCTAGTGATTGAAGAAAAGATATTTGTTTATAGCAAGAATTATAATAAATCTCCATGATTAGGTATAGCTGGTCATCTCTATACACCTTTTCCGCGTAGTGGTCGCCATCTTGCGTGTTGCAGCGACAGCCGCGCCGTCTGGCGTACGGTTGTTGCGCGCCCATTTTGGTATGCGGAGAGCAGCGTTGTTCCTAGCTCCCGCGTTCTCCCCATTGACCCCGTGCATCGTATCTTCATTGTTTTCCCTTTAGTGAGTTCTTAATTTGTTTGTTATTGAAAGTGTGAATCATTCTTGTGTTCTGGTGTGTTTATTCGCCTTGATGGCGCCCGTTGTTGCGTCAACAGCGCCGAGAGGTTCGTCGCCAGCGTCGCCGGTAATCGAAATCGGAGGTATGTTCACTTTTCCTGAGCACGTTTACCAGTGTTTTACTCTTCGCGTGTTGTTGTTTGTGAAGAATGACAGTCTTCTGCGAATGACTGACGGAGGGTTTCTATGCGCGAGCGAGGGTGACCCTGGGCATAGAAGTATCGCCGTTTAATCGTAGAAATACAAGTTGGCGACGCGGGCCGAACGCTTTTTTGTTATGGTGCACCGTCGAGGGGTACGCCAGTTACCGGGACATCTGTACTTCGTATGACGCCCAGATGCGTCGGAACTATTCAGGAGATGGGGGTGAAAAGGGGGGGGGGGGGGGGGGGGGGGACGACGATTTTTCGCTCCTTTTTTCGTATTGTTTCGCTTAACGTATTTTAGCGGGCGTCGCTACCGAGCAACACACAAAATTATAGTGCACATCCTCGTAGGAATGAACGGAATGAAAAACAAAACTTGAGTAGCCAATAACAATCATTACACCCAGGGTCTTATATTTTCACCACAAGCTGCAAAATTCGTTCTACATTTGACTTGTCGAGGCCTATTACGGCACTTGTAGATGTCTGTTTCTATTCTGCCTATTTGCTTTTTTATGTGCTGATATTGGTGGAACTCTAATGTCACTAACTACCATTTCCCTAATTTTGTGTGGAATCTTATTTTCAGAGAACCGCCTTTACCCCCATCCAACCTGCATAACTACATGGGAGGACAACCTAAAGAAATGGCCAGAAATTCGTGCCCCACAAATAGTTTACTATCTTCTCAAGACCAAGGCCTGCGACTTGGAGGAGGTCAAGGCGTACAAGAGCCTCGACTCGTACAACTACGTGCAAAGCGGCTGGGTCGGAGCATTGCTGGTGCATGAGATTGACCCGTGCACACTTCTACTGAAAGGAACTGTTCAAGGTTCACAGTCTGTGAACAGGCCCAATGACGCATGGATTTGCGCGAAGAAAGACGGTGAGGTGATCACTGGTGGGTGCACATGCATGGCCGGCAAGGCAAGAGTTTGCAGCCACGTCGGGGCTGTCTTGTGGAAAGTGGACTGTGCGGCAAGTGCTGGTTTTACTGGGCAGGCATGCACCGATGCCGCAATGAACTGGAATCGGGGGACCAAGAAGAATGTTATGCCAGCACCCCTGCACAACATCAGCTTCCGGCTCCAGAAAGGAACTGCCAGGGCAGTAGAAAGAAGAGGGACTGAAGTTACGGAACCGAAGCAGGTCCATTCCCTTCGGGACGACCAGGAGCTCCAGCAGTTTCATGCAGCAGCTCCGTTCAAGAGCCTATTCTGCATACCAGGCAAGTATGAGCTATTCTTATAATTATTATGTCAAAACTCTGCGTAGTGAGCTTATGTGAAGTTAATTTTAAGTGGAAATGGCAGGTTCATTCCATCTGGTAACTACCCCAAACATGTGGAGCATTCATTTTGTCATGAAACAGTAGGGTCAAAGTAGCTGCCATATTCGTTTATTAATTGTCTAATTGTTAACCATTTGGAAGTCCAGTACCCTGGTCCATTTGGCAAGTTTGAATTGGGGCAAGCTCTGCTAACAACACTACTCAAAAACAATTGTTCCGTGCCCCTAAAAAGATGACGGCAATATTTAACAAAATAAGATCAGATGTGAAGCTTTACACGAGATAAATAACAAGATTAGAGCTCAAGGGCAACCATAGAGCTTGAGCAATCCAGCCTATCTGCACTACCTTAACAAGTGTACTTAGTGCATACATTACTGTTACAATAAATATATAACTCTTCCATGTTGAGCTTCTACAGACCCCTTTTTTAACCACAGAACTTGTTCCAACTGGTGAGTCACTGACCAGTCAGCTGTGTCTGCCACCCACTTTGATTTACCAGCATTCTGGTATCAGCAGAAAACACTTGAAAATAAAATATTCTGCGATATCAAATAAATTCCAACACCATTTTGTCTGTCCTTGACACATCAGGTACTATTTCTAAATGCAGAGATCACCTAAACAAGCTGCAAACGAGCTAAGGATGCCTGTTATCATTTGTTCTTGCTTTTCTAATGTAATTCATTGATATGAAGTTGTATGTTTCGTTTTTAATAAATTCTGTTTATATTGCAGGAACGCTTTTGCATGAGACCATCACAGCCTCTAGGCAGCCCCAGGCTCAACCAGTTGCCAAGGTGCCCGACCAGGCCCCAAGCCACCAAGACCATGATAGGGCAGAGACCCTTCCAGAATCGTGCCCAGCATGCAACTTATTTTATAGTGACTTCGTTGTACTAACTAGTACTGCAGCTGTGCAACTTGAAACTGGAACACGGGGCACTACAAATGCCTTGTGGAAAGATTCACGGAAGTTGCGCATCACAGCATCCAACGTTAAGTGCGTACCAAAGATGATAAAAACATCTCACGAGAAGGCCGTTCTAACCCTGACAGGCAGTTCATTCCATGGAAATGCTGCCACTAGACATGGACACATGTATGAACCTGTAGCGCGGCAGGCGTTCATTGTAAAGACAGGGTTCACAGTTTCCCTCTGTGGAACTGTAGTTTGCAGTGAGGAGCCCTGGCTCTCTGCTACTCCTGATGGCATCATCGAAAGTCAAAATGCCATTCTGGAGATAAAGTGTCCAGAGGTGCAAGACTGCAGGGCAATGATTGCCACTAATAAGAGGTATGATGTCCAGAGAAGAGATGACACATACACACTAAAAAAGACTGGAAGTAACGGCTTTTATAGCCAAGTACAGTACACAATGCTGTGCACAGGGAAGCAGCTCTGTTTTTTGTATGTGTGGTCAAAGAACAGTGATGTGTTGTTAGAGATTTCTTTCGATGGCAGCTTCATTGCTGAAAACACACCTCGGCTGAGCCGGTTTTATTTTTCTTCGATGTTGCCGCACCTTGAAAAGATGCAAAGGGGGGGCAAACTGAACATGTGCCTTGAATACAGGCGACTGGCCCTCATGTAATCAAACTTTTTCCAAAAAGTGACAAGAACAAAAGGTGAAATAAATGAAGCAGCAGGTGGAGCAGTGACAATGCTTCATACAACAAGCCAGTGTTGACTGTCGCCTGCTCGCCATGTTTTTCAAGGTTCGACGAGGTGTGAAGACTGTGCCATTTGTCTTTCACATTCCTTGAATTATTTCATATACACATACCACAATCGGTCAAGCAGAACAGAAATCAGTAACTTGCAAGTGTCCAAGAAGTAGAAAAACTGTCCAACTTTGGAAAATCTTGAAATGTACAACACATCAAGGACAGCTTACAAGGCTTTCGAGACCAGCGTCCTCGTCCTCGGCTATTGCATGTGTTGTCAAAGCTGAAGAGGGGACCACCGGTCCCAAACCAATCTTGAAACTGCACTTGAAGGGATGGTGAACCGAAATTTTGATATCAGAAAACATTGCAGGAGCTGTAGGCGGGAGACTACAATCCCTACAACACTACTCGTAAAATGATATCCCGAATGGACGGCCGCATTTTTGGAAAAAGGTCGAGATTGGACAATGCGCGTGATGTCAAGATGTCTCGTTTCCTCCTCTTCTCACTTCGCCCCCTCAAGGCGACGAGGCGGAGAAGACGTGAGGCTGTTCCTTCTCCTCCTCGGAGAAACGAGACGTAAGCACATCTGTCCAATGCGCCTCCTTTTCCTGAGAAATACGGTCATCCCTTCGAGATATCGCTGTACGAGTGATGTTTTGGTGTTTGTAGCATCCCGTTGCACGCTTTTGCCGCCGTGTTTTGTGGAATCCAGATTTCAGTTCAGCATCTCTTTAAACTGGTTAACATTTTAAGATTATCCTCGGCTAAGCAGGATCTTTTATTTATTAATATGTTATTTTTGTTTACGCTAGTACACATATCACAACGAAAGAGGTGAAATAATTGGCATGAGTAAAACGAGGCATGTGAAAAACCTACTTTTTTGCTAGACTAAGTCCGTAAGCCAAGTTTTATCCTTTGCATCAAATAAGAATACTAACACTTTCAATCTAAAGGGGAGGTGAAACAATTTACTACACAAACATGCAGCATATAACTTATATTTTGTTTGTATCAACGTAAGTAAAAGTAAATGCAGACTTTCCCTAAAATATTGTGATTTTTCATGTTCTCGCGAAGCAAAAGCCAGATTATTTCCCAACTTGCAGCAGCATGTGGCAGCCATGAGAAAAATGGCCCGAAGTTACCACGAGCTACGCCACAGTGAATGAGCAAGTTGCGTGTGTAAGCGTGCCATTCACCTGAAGTCAACCAAATTATCCCCTTCCGATGCTTTCATGACAAGCGAGCAAAAACGGATGTCCATACTTATGTTTTTTCACTCATCCAAGATTGGCTACCTGCCACGACCATTACCGATGCCGACTGGCTATAATGTTCCAAGGCGATCGAACCAAAGTTTGAAAAGTGTTCCTATCTGAGGCGAAAGGTCCTCTTCCCACCGATGAAAAAAGGAAGGTCACGAGCATGCTTGAGAACACAGTGACTCAGTAGACAGTGTAACAGTTGAAAGATACCATGAACTTCAATTTGTATTATTTTTACAGCAACAGCTCTTAGCGAGATCCTGCTGGGGGAATAACGTTGACATCCTGCTCAAAACTTCACAGTGCCTCGAGCAAATGCACAGCTAGTGAATGCATCAAAAAGCAACGACCACGTGATCAAAACCACAAACACTAGTTGAGGGCCAGGCATTTGAAAGACATGCCTTACCGTTCTCACTCTGAGGGTGGATGTAACAGAAACCCCACTTTTTCCGGAGCATGCACACGACCATCCGAGCAGACGAACTTGCACGTTGTATGGCTAGACCTTGGAAAGTTTGTAGCGGGTCCAAAGAAAATGACTTTTAGTTACGGCACGGGAGTGGAATTGAGAGCGGAAGTGGTGTAAAAATTCTCGGAACTGTGCTCAGGAGGCAGTGCAGAAACGACAATGATGTCACAGTGTTGGCGAATTACGTGATTGCTGAGCTCCTGTTGCTGTGACGTATGTCGTGCAATTGTGTAAACCCACTATTGTTAAAAAAATATCTAGTGCACTTAAGCAATGAAAGGTTTTTGTTCTGAAGTTTGAAAATTGTTCCACTCCCCAATTAAGTGAGCAAGAAAATAAACAAAAAACTTCCATCCTGCAGACAAGAGATCAAAACAAACACACCTACAAAAATTGTACTCAACATCAGCGATGTGAGGCACACAAAGGAAACACGGATAGAGCAATGATCATAAACCACACTACCAAGTCTGTCCAAGGAAATAAAACCTGTCTTGAGCCGCATAGGTACTGGAAACTGCATGAGAATGCGACACTAGCTGTAGTGGCAGAATGCAAAAGCTGGAGAATATGTTACCAGAATCGAAAAATGGAAACACGAAATTTCTCTATAAATAGACGACTACCTCAGCGTAATGCATGTAGAACAGAACAAATGCCACTAAATGCCTGTGGTGTTTATTTTAAAAACAAATAACAAACAATAGCCAATGACAGAATTTGCTATCAGAATTTGTCTACTGAGAGCAGCTGCAGTCGACCTAGATTCTATCCCTGCTGGGGCTATGTTGATTTTATACACAACTTTAACGAACATGTCGGTCGTTACGACGCTTGTTCATATCTAGTTTCCTATTGTAAACAACCCATAAACCACATTCTGTGCTAGAAGTATGGTCTCAAAAAAAAAAAAAAAAAAACAATACTGCATTTCTTACTCGCAAATTTTTCCCACCGGAGCATTAGATACATCTAGAATACCATTTTTTTTCGTTTGCCCCGAGTATTTGGATGATCCAGGTAACTTCAAGTTGTCGAACTTTCACATTCTCTCACCACTGCTAGCCTGACATTCCCAGTTTCATCTTTTGGCAACAAATAATTTGTCTATGCACGCCAAAAACCGGGTTTCATTTTCTTGATCAGACCCAGTACATTAGAACGGAACATGTAGAAAACAAGCTCGAGAATTCAGTGTCTACAGAGTCAGTGTCTACACATCAACGCTGGCACTTGCCGCTGTTCCTTGCGTTGCAATCAGAGGTGCCTTCAGATTGCACAGTCCTGCGCAGATGAAGACCATATCACTCATGGTTCTCCTCGACGTTATGGTTAACGCTGACTTGAAGATACGGTACGTTTTAATGCGATTAATCGCTCTCTCAACATGTATCCGTAATGAGGCGATTCTTCTCGTTCGAGTCACATCGAGCTCGGAGAGCTGGGATTTCCCTGCGAATAATAAAGAAGACATATGATTGTTTAGTTTTACTAACGCTGCATCCTGCAGTACCTTTGACCAGTCCTTCCATTGCAAGCTGCATATATAGCATGCTGACTTTAGTAAGGAATACGTCACATCAACACAATTTCTGGCTATGCACTGAACTAGAAACAATGGAGGACATGTAGAACTAAGGAAATCACAACAAACATTAAGAAATATGTGAGTTGCAGATTTACTGCAAGCGTGCGGGGAGAGAGTGCCAAGCTCTGACTGGAAGGAATATTGGGCTAGCTGCATTTGTCTCCAGAGTCTCCCTCTAATCAAAGCGAAATTAGAGCTCGGTGCTCCGACATCCCTGTGCGCTCTCATGTACTCCTCTCTCCGTTTCTCCTTGCATACAAAACACGCAAACTGTTTTCTCATGGCAGTACTATCCTTGACAAAGTTGAAGAATGGCTACTTCATGTAGTGCTTCACAATAGTTTCTGAAGTGCTACGTCTCAAAACCATGGCTTGGCTGCGGCCAAAATAGCATTTCGATGAAAAAAAAGACAGCTTGTGTGCTGTGTTTTGTGTACATGCAATGCCAGACATGCAAAGCATGCTTGAGTTGCTCCTATTAGCTTAAAATGCTTGGCGAGATTAAGAATTAAGAAGCATGTTCCCACTATTTCGGCAGATAAGGAAAGTTGCCGGAGGTATCCACTCAAAGAAGTTGGATGTTGTGCACCAACAAGTTGACAAGTCTAGTGCCAAGCCACTGGAGAGCGCAGCACTCTGGCCACCGAAATAGCTGGGCAAAGCAGCATGAAGCACTGCACAATGCAAGCACATACTTATAACAGATCAAACTTGCATTGCAAACATTTGAGGATCCACATTCACATTTAAGTAAACACAGTCATATTTCCTATGGCTGGGTGATTGATAGACTAACCTCACAATTAATTGAATATTATTTTTAACTAAGTAAACCCCCCAAAAAATCTTTTTTTTTTTTTTTTTTTACGGTTTCCGTGCTTTTAAAAGGTTAGTCCATTCATCTGTGGGGAACACAAAAATGCCAATAACATTCATCACATTTAGGCTCGGATTGCTTCCAACTTAAGCTTAGTTCAATATAAGGCCCAGTCTGCAGCCAGAGACGAGGACACCTCTCCTCGATTCTGTCTCTGACCCAGAAAGAAGGAAATCCCTCCTTTCTGCAGGAATTAGCTCCCAGGTGAACACCTTTTAGATAGCAAGGCTCATAGGCCTGAATATTGTACAGCACCTGAAGAGGCAAGCATGAGGCACAAATGAGACACGAGTGCTGCATCAGTGTTTGGCTGAGGATCATGTTCAATCAGTGAGGATACAAGTCTCGTCTCAGTGCTGCCGCAACACTTGTATCCAATCTGTGCACATTTGCCTGTTTAGATGACATAAAATAAGGCCAGTGCCTTATTTTATGTCATCCCAAGGCCCGTTTCTTATGTTACATTATATCATAGTACTCGCTAGGCTTCCTCATTTTAGAAGTCGAGTCAGTAATGAAGAAAGTTCCGTGCGTCTTTGTTCAACGTCTCGCAAGCATCTATTTAGCGCTGCAGGAATGATTGTGAAGTGAATGACCCTGCTCATGCCAGATAACATCAGGAAACCTCTTTGCCTTCACAGTTGGGAGTAATATTTTGTCATTTGAGCATTATCAATTGAAGGTTCAAGTTTATCCCCAGCTGAAAAAGTGCATTGCATTGTTTATCACACAGCAAAAGGAAGCAACGAAGAACAGGCGTCCTTGCTCTTTTCACAATATATTGAGCCTGAACATCAGTGCAACCAAAAATTTGACTATTGCAAGGCAATGAGACTGGCTAAAATTTTAAACCAAGAACCAGCCCTAGTTATCTCCAAGAGTATAACTAACACAAAGCATTTGCAGACAGGACATGAATAAACAGTGCCTGCATTAGGGTTCATGCCATGCAATCGTCTTACCCTTTGTGAACGCCGGCTTGTTCAACTTCACCCCTTGAAGCTCCAGGTGGGCATCCAAAGTAAACCCACGATCAGCCATAATCTCATCGCCACACTGGAAGTGGTCCTCGACCCCGCAGTGCCGCACAATGTATTTATCGGAAGCCCTCCCACCATACACATCTGACACATACATAATGAAGCCATTGGGGGCGATAACTGTAAGAAATTTGACCGTGTTGTTTGCCTTGTAAGAGCTGAATGTCTGTGCTCGAGCCATGAGCTTCTTAGGCCTCTGCAGAATGACTTCCGTGCAATCAAAGATGCAGGTAGTCCTGCCGTAACCGCCTTCAACAAAAGAGGCAGGCATACTGTTTTCTATGCGTGACCGTGGCAGCCAGAAAACAACATAGCTCATGATCTTCTTTAGGATCCGAAGCATTCTTTTCACAATGTCACAAATTCTAGTGACCGAGGTCTCAAACCTCCTAGCTAGGTCCCCATAAAGGAGGCCTAGGCGCAATCTCATGAGTGTTATCAGAAGCTGGTCTTCTGCGGACAACTGAGAGTTGGTGGTGGTCATTTTACAGACGGCCTCCGCGAGACTTAGAAACACGGTCTTCGAGACACCCGTATAAAACATTATATCTGAAGCCGACATTTTCAGCGCGATGGCAGGTTTTCGAGACTCCTTGAAGGAGTAGCTGTGGTCCTCTAGTTCCAGAGCTTCCCACTGGGTTTCTTGGTCTTTTGTTGTCACCTGAGAAATGTAAAACCAAAGAAGTTAGTCAGCTTACAAAGATTACGCTGCTTAAAGAAGCCAATAACTTACTGTAGGGCAGTGTCGCGCTTCCAGAGGGCCTTGATCATTAAGTCCAGCCTGCAAAACCTAAACCACAATCCACATGAATGAGACGTTAGGCAGCCTGAACTACTACATCTCTCATATAACAGGGAGGCACTGACTTGATCGAATGACGTTTTAGCGAACGCCCACGTTTCATCGAATGACACTTTAGCGAATAGTCGGACGCCGCGAAGCGGCGTTTTTGGGTGGGCCAAGTGAGTTCATATTTTTGTAATGAGTTGCCGCAGACTGTCGCCGCGAAGCGGCGTAAAGCGTAGCGCGACGAATGGGTTAACGCGCGCCCCCGTTTTTCGCTAAAACGACCATTCGCTCAAATGTCGCCGTTCGCTAAAATGTCATTCGCTCTTGTGATATGGACCCCATATAACACTGTACTGCAATGATGATGTTTCATTTACATAAACCTGTGCAGCACTACACTTTCGTAAAGGGATGGATGAGGACTTACCAAATCTAAAGGCACCACCGTAACTTTGATTGTTGTTGTCAATGGCAGAGCCTCAGGCTGCGGAGCAGGCGTAGTCGTGGGACCAGCGGAGTATCCTGGGTTCTGTTGATGTGCAAACACAAATGCGTAAGAACAGTAAGAATGGACTTGTGAACAGCAGCCTGCACTGAGCCAAAAATGCAGTCTGCTTACAGCATCCAGCAGCTTGTCGGCTTTCGGCAACGGGCTCAGCACAGGCAGCTGGAGCGGCAGAGTCTTGGGTTCTGGGGCCGGCGTTGGACCAGCTGGGTGAATTGGGGTTTCCTGATGTGCAAATACAGATGCATAAAAACAGTAAGAACTTAAGAACTAACTCACAAACAGTGGCCCGCAGAGCACCCGAAAGGGGGTTAGCTTACAGCATCCAGCAGCCGGTCAGCTTTCTGCAAGAAGCTCCGCACGGGCGGCTGGAGCGGCAGAGTCTTGGGTTCTAGGGCCGGCGGAGTTGTGGGACCAGCTGGGTGAACTAGGGTTTCCTGATGTGCAAATACAGATGCATAAAAACAGTAAGAACTTAGGAACTAACTCACAAACAGTGGCCCGAAGAGCACCCGAAAGGGGGTTAGCTTACAGCATCCAGCAGCCGGTCAGCTTTCTGCAAGAAGCTCCGCACGGGCGGCTGGAGCGGCAGAGTCTTGGGTTCTAGGGCCGGCGGAGTCGTGGGACCAGCTGGGTGAACTAGGGTTTCCTGATGTGCAAATACAGATGCATAAAAACAGTAAGAACTTAGGAACTAACTCACAAACAGTGGCCCGCAGAGCACCCGAAAGGCGGTTAGCTTACAGCATCCAGCAGGCGGTCAGCTTTCTGCAAGAAGCTCCGCACGGGCGGCTGGAGCAGCAGAGTCTTGGGTTCTGGGGCCAGCGTTGGCGTTGGACCAGCTAGGTGAACTGGGGTTTCCTGATGTGCAAATACAGATGCATAAAAACAGTAAGAACTTAAGAACTAACTCACAAACAGTGGCCCGAAGAGCATCCGAAAGGGGGTTTGCTTACAGCATCCAGCAGCCGGTCAGCTTTCTGCAAGAAGCTCCGCACGGGCGGCTGGAGCAGCAGAGTCTTGGGTTCTGGGGCCAGCGTTGGCGTTGGACCAGCTGGGTGAACTGGGGTTTCCTGATGTGCAAATACAGATGCATAAAAACAGTAAGAACTTAAGAACTAACTCACAAACAGTGGCCCGAAGAGCATCCGAAAGGGGGTTAGCTTACAGCATCCAGCAGCCGGTCAGCTTTCTGCAAGAAGCTCCGCACGGGCGGCTGGAGCAGCAGAGTCTTGGGTTCTGGGGCCAGCGTTGGCGTTGGACCAGCTGGGTGAACTGGGGTTTCCTGATGTGCAAATACAGATGCATAAAAACAGTAAGAACTTAAGAACTAACTCACAAACAGTGGCCCGAAGAGCATCCGAAAGGGGGTTAGCTTACAGCATCCAGCAGCCGGTCAGCTTTCTGCAAGAAGCTCCGCACGGGCGGCTGGAGCAGCAGAGTCTTGGGTTCTGGGGCCAGCGTTGGCGTTGGACCAGCTGGGTGAACTGGGGTTTCCTGATGTGCAAATACAGATGCATAAAAACAGTAAGAACTTAAGAACTAACTCACAAACAGTGGCCCGCAGAGCACCCGAAAGGGGGTTAGCTTACAGCATCCAGCAGCCGGTCAGCTTTCTGCAAGAAGCTCCGCACGGGCGGCTGGAGCGGCAGAGTCTTGGGTTCTAGGGCCGGCGGAGTCGTGGGACCAGCTGGGTGAACTAGGGCTTCCTGATGTGCAAATACAGATGCATAAAAACAGTAAGAACTTAGGAACTAACTCACAAACAGTGGCCCGCAGAGCACCCGAAAGGGGGTTAGCTTACAGCATCCAGCAGCCGGTCAGCTTTCTGCAAGAAGCTCCGCACGGGCGGCTGGAGCAGCAGAGTCTTGGGTTCTGGGGCCAGCGTTGGCGTTGGACCAGCTGGGTGAACTGGGGTTTCCTGATGTGCAAATACAGATGCATAAAAACAGTAAGAACTTAAGAACTAACTCACAAACAGTGGCCCGAAGAGCATCCGAAAGGGGGTTTGCTTACAGCATCCAGCAGCCGGTCAGCTTTCTGCAAGAAGCTCCGCACGGGCGGCTGGAGCAGCAGAGTCTTGGGTTCTGGGGCCGGCGTTGGCGTTGGACCAGCTGGGTGAACTGGGGTTTCCTGATGTGCAAATACAGATGCATAAAAACAGTAAGAACTTAAGAACTAACTCACAAACAGTGGCCCGAAGAGCACCCGAAAGGGGGTTAGCTTACAGCATCCAGCAGCCGGTCAGCTTTCTGCAAGAAGCTCCGCACGGGCGGCTGGAGCAGCAGAGTCTTGGGTTCTGGGGCCGGCGTTGGCGTTGGACCAGCTGGGTGAACTGGGGTTTCCTGATGTGCAAATACAGATGCATAAAAACAGTAAGAACTTAAGAACTAACTCACAAACAGTGGCCCGCAGAGCACCCGAAAGGGGGTTAGCTTACAGCATCCAGCAGCCGGTCAGCTTTCTGCAAGAAGCTCCGCACGGGCGGCTGGAGCAGCAGAGTCTTGGGTTCTGGGGCCAGCGTTGGCGTTGGACCAGCTGGGTGAACTGGGGTTTCCTGATGTGCAAATACAGAGGCATAAAAACAGTAAGAACTTAAGAACGAACTCACAAACAGTGGCCCACAGAGCATCCGAAAGGGGGTTTGCTTACAGCATCTAGCAGCCGGTCGGGTTTCTGCAACAAGCTCCGCACAGACGGCTGAAGCAGCTGAGTCTTAGGTTGTGGGGCCGGCGGAGTCGTGGGACCAGCTAGATGAACTGGAGTTTCCTGATGTGCAAATACAGAGGCGTAAAGACAGCAAGAACTTAAGAACTAACTTACAAACAGTGGCCCACACAAACAGTGGCACCCGAAAGGCCGTTTGCTTACAGCATCCAGCAGCTGGTCAGCTTTCTGCAAGAAGCTTAGCACGGGCGGCTGGAGCGGCAGAGTCTTGGGTAGTGGGGCGGGCGGAATTGTTGGACCAGCGGGGTGTACTGGGGTTTCCTGATATGAGAACACAGGCATAGCAACAGTCAAAACTAACTCACAAACAGCGGCTCGCAGAGCACCCGAAAGGCGGTCTGCTTACAGCATCCAGCAGCCGGTCGGCTTTCCGCAACAAGCTCCTCACAGACGGCTGGAGCGGCACAGTTTTGGATTGTGGGGCCGGCGGAGTCGGGCGATCAGCGGGGTATACTGGGGTTTCCTGATGAGCAAACATAGAGGCGTAACAACAGTAAGAATAAACTCGTGAACTGCAGCCCGCACTAAGCCAAAACTGCAGTCTGCTCACAGCATCCAGCAACTGGTCGACTTTCTGCAACAGGCTCCGCGCAGGCAGCTGGAGGGTCCGAGTCTTTGGTTGTGAAGACGGCGGAGTCGTGGGACCAGTGGAGTGTACTGGGTTTTGCTGATACAGAAACACAAAGGTGTAACAGCAGTAAAAATGGACTCGCAAGCAGCAGCTGCGCTGTGGCTGGCTTGATCCTCAATAGACTACGGAATTTGGGAACGTCAGTTAAGACGCAGTGAAATTTCATTTGTATCAGCCAAGACACTGTTCTTCTGGTGTTAGTCTATCGTAGCACTCTAAATTTATTAGCAAATACAGATTATGACTGTCCAGCATCTGCTTCTTCAAATAACAAATTTGATTCTGTAAACTACATCATTAAATCAAACACTGGCTTTTGTTTATTTATTTTTTGTTCCTAAAAGTTGAGCGTCAGCTGTTTAAAAAAATTACAGATTTACAACATTGTTATAAATCAATAAGGTGTGCATATTCAGGTCTTTAACTATGAACCGCATATGAGCGATTCTTCCAATAACGGGACGAAACGCTTGCAATTCAGCCTTTACTAATATGACACTACGCCAATCACCTTCAGCGGACAGCCTGTCGACGAGCCTGATGGAGAGTCATCTGCGAGCTTCTGTAATGAGAAAATACACAAATGTCTCATCGCGTCAACGACGTGATTTTATAAGCAGGAAATGTCCAAGCATCAATTACCGATTTCTTGAGGGGTGGTACGGACATCCTCTGCAATCGTCTTCGGCCTACAATAACCTACAGGAAGCACCAATCGAGCAATAAACACAGGTTCCAAGTACCAAAAGCAACGGCAAATAGCAAACAACAAATATGGCAAAGTAGCAGAAGTAACCAAAATAGCACAGTACCTTGCGATCATAGCCCAGAAAGAGCATCGGAACTGGGTTCTGCTTGGTTCGCTTGCCGTCGACGAAATGCCGCGAACAAACTCTCGACGATGACCCCGGCACGAAGTCTTTCCTGTAGACACTTGCCACCCACTTACGTCGCAAATCAGGATCAGCGGGGAAGCGATGTAAGGTGTATACGCTACAGCCGCATTCGCTTTGCGACTTCTTGTGTTCGGTGCACAATTTGTCGCGCGCTATCTTCCGTTTTCGGAAATTGCTGCTGCAGCCAACGACTGCGCAGTGGTAGCCCGATGACCAAGTATGCACGGACATGATACCTCGACGTATTAATCCACCTTATTACAACACACTGCCCTGTCAAGGGCTTCAAAACCCATTTTACGCGCACCACTTCCGCACCGTACGATCCAGCTAGGCGTGCTCCCGCATACCGGAAGTGCTAGAACCGGAAGAACTATTCTCGCTATGCGCCGAGTCGCCGAGTCGAGGCTACGCACGTTACGCGCTGGGTCGAGGTTACGCGGAAAAGGTCTATGGGCTCAAATTTATGTCAAATGCGTCGTTTAATTTCCATCAAATGCAGGCATTGGACTTTCGGAGGCCACAGTCAATAACATTCGGCCAAAACATTTATCGCTTTGAATTTGCTTCAAACTCAAAATCCACTATTCGCACACACCTGATACTGGTCAAACGGTAGCGGAGTCTGCTCCTCGTGCAGAAAGCTGTCACAAGCTTCGCTTCGCCGTTCCGATTGGCTCGAGAGGGCCGTAGCACTCACCGTTTGCCAAGTTTTTCCGAGACAAAGTATAGAGTACTCTGTGAATTGGCATGGATTCCCGTAAACTTGCCTGTGGATCCCTTGGTGTTTTTGAGCCACTGTTTGTAAACTGCCGAATTGAGGCTGGTTCACACACCTGTGACTGCTTATGACCTAATGCCTTACAAGCTCTTGTGATCTCCTACGACAAGAGAACACACTGGCACAAGCTATCGGGTTGCCGTAGAACACTTACAACTTCCATATACCGTATTTACTCGCATAATGAACACACTCGCGCAATGAACGCACCTCCAATTTTCGGCTCCGCAAGTCGTGAACTGCGTCCAACTCGGCCAGCCACCGAGCCCACCGAGCCAATTTCTTTTGCCGCCAAGGGGCCGGGCCGAGAAACGCCAGACGTAGCAGTGCACGCGTGTGAATGGCTGCAAGCGTATAGTTGTGGAAGCGATCAACGTCAAAACAGAGTGGCGCACACACCTAACAAAGCTGTAGTCAAAGCATTTCCCAGCTCCGGACACGTTTCGCCCGTCGGATGTGCCGACATCAACAAACGTGCCATCGTCCGTGGTCCGCTTCCGAATGGTGAAATCGTGCAAGTGGTTAGGTCTAAGAATGGCCATTTTGCTCTCTTTGCTGAGCGAACTTTGTATGGCGCTTTTCCTTTGTAGAGAGGCACGCCGAAAGCACCCCAAGAAAGGTTTGCAATTTGTGGAGCACGTTTACTGCGGCACGCCCTCAACCGGCCGTGGGTGCGCCTCCGTCAGTGGAGACGTGCCGCAGTACCCTGCTGTGTCATATAGACCAGTGACTGCTCTGTTCTATGGGCGCCGCCATGTTCGTTTATGCTGACGCCATGGCACAGTGGGGGGCTGCGCTGTTTTGGAACACTGTTTTTTTAGAAACCTTCGCACATATCAAAGAACACCAAAAATGCATGGTCACGAAGCTCCAAGAACAACAGCAATGCCTAGAGTGCTGTAAAAATAAAAAAAGATCTTGTTTTATGTGCAGCCCCTCTCTTCACAAGAGCTTGCATTTTGGAATATTATTTCCCATTATTGTCACAGGGGGCCAGGATTTCAGACACTGGTCTGTAGGCAGCTAAAACATTTGTGAAAAGTGTGTAAGTGCAAAACTTTTACCCTGCGTAATGAATGCACCCTCCAAATACTATGTGTCAGTTTTTCGGGAAAAAAGCGCATTCATTATGTGGGTAAATACGGCATTTTATTATTTTTTTATTTGCTCAAAAAAACTTTTAACGATGTTATGAATGACCATTTCTCATAGGTGGTACATACATTTGATCTCGTAAATACGACAAAGCCTTCGCTCCAGTAAAATGTGGTTCCAGAGCCACCTCGTACAAGGCGCCAGCCAGCCAGAACTCGGTTGTATGCAGAAGCAAGCGTGTGAACTAGCCTTTGCGCGGCACCACGATTCCGGCTGCAAAGATTCCGTGGCACGGGCCGTCCCGTCCATGGCGTCTCTGGGCCGCCCAGTGCGGGCGTGACTTTGAAGGCGCATTGTTCCTCCAGGTGGCCGGAGCGCAGCCGGGGCCGCTTTCCTGGATCGACTACGGACGGGCGGACGTGTGGGCGGTGGGGGCACTCTGCTACCCACTGTGGGGGCTGCCCCTCCCCTTTGGGGGAGGGGTCCTGGATAGCCGCAGCTACCGGGAGCAGGACCTGCCATCCCTGCCCAAAGACGCGCCGCCGGCCGTCAGGGCGCTCGTCAGGGACATGCTGCATAGGGACCCCCAGCAGGTGGGGCCCACCTCATCGTGCGGAGGCTTACGGCTTCAAATCTAGACTATGATTTTCATTTTTGACGTCGCTAGGGTCAAATATTACAGTTCTTACACCTGACACCGGTACTTTTAAAGACAAAATGGTGTTAGAACCTAACCGAATTGCCGCCAGACTTCGAGAGTTTTTGTACCGTTTGAGCATGGGGCCCCTCTGCTGCTAAGCTGTTGTCACTACTTTGTGCCGCAAAAATGTGGCATTTTCTTCGTGCGATGTGCGCTTCTCTGAGGAATCATAGTGTGAATACTTCTTTTACTGCCCTCCACCTTTCAAACTAAACCGTGTATTCTAGACCAGCTCATCTGCATCCAGTTGTATTTTTCGTCTGTTGCTGTTGCTCAACCAGAACTGTCTGGTGTTCTTATAAGCATTAAAGCAGGCAGTGAATGCTCAGTTATACTTGTCCCAACTAGTCGGGCATTTCTGAAAAATACGGCAAAAATGTTCGAAAGACGGGAGAATTTGCGATTAAAATGAGTCACGACATCCCAAGCAGAGTTAACGTCACGGACGAATGTGATGTCGCAGACGAAGGTAATTGTCATTTCACTGGGAGCGAGGCATTTCTTCAGAAAAACGGATATAATGCCCTTTATTCCCATACAGAAATAAAATATTTGCCCTTGCAGGTCACCCCCCTTGCCCCCTCCTCCCCTCTCTTCCCTTAAATTGGCCACTGTTGAGAACCCATGATGCAGTGGAAAGGCAAACAGAGTTGCCCTTCAAGTTGGTCACCAGCTTCTGACGCTCCCCCCTCACGTGCAGCGTCCCAGCGCAGCCTTTGCGGCTACGGTGTGCCAGCTCCTGTTGTGGGGTCCTCCCGGGCTGCTGCTGCCAGGTAACAGAAGAAGTGCCCGTCTGCTGGTGCGCTGGCTGTGCTGCTCCCTGGGCCGCCTGGTGCGTGGCAAGGCCAACCCGCTGGTGGGAAGCCTACTGGCCAGGGCCAGTCTGGCAACCCTCCGGGAAGCCCTCCAGTACCTGCACCAGGCTGCCGCAGAGTAGGGCGGCAAAGCGCTCCGCTAACCAACGACTCGTTATACGCCGGACCGACGGACGGGGGCGAGCACTGACGTTGTAGGGTTGCCCTTTTCAGAGATGCCTTGGGGGATGGAGGTGGAGCCACCGTGTTGACGTCATAACTCGAATATATAAATAGAGAGTTAGTGAAAAAAAAAAAAAAAAGAGCCTGTTTCTATTTGACAATGTGCTTTAGACAACGTTACTAGAATATAGCCATAGAGCCTGCTTTGAAAAAGGTGGCTCACCTCCGTACTCGAGCACCAAACTAAAGGCGACCGCAACGCGGCCATTTCTCCCGCAGCGGCCAC